CTATCAACCGTACATATCCATAAAACGTAAACCCAGAAAAGGGCAAAATTACGCATCCTCCCTTAAAAAAAAAAAAACCCCCACCCCTACTGAGATTGAGCTATTTTTCCTCACCAATCGTCCCCTAATAAATCAATAAAAAAAAAAAGACCGGATGCTCCCAGAGAAATGAGTTGTAAAACATTTGCGGATTTAATGTTGTTACCCATTCATTTGTACAGCAAATAGTCCTCTCGATGATTAAATGTAATCTTTCATTTTTGAAATTCATTTCAACGTACGTAAACAGTTTTGCGAATGGGGGATAAATGTGTTGGAGAGACAACAGTGGGAGAATTGCACATACAAGCACCGGGTCGCGAGTGAATCGCGAAAAGGCCTTTACGGAGTGCGGAGCACGATCGAGATACCGTATCGGCCAGCATTTCGAGTGAATATTAGCGTAATGAGCTCGATAGCCGAGCGATACGAGAGATTTTAACCCGTCCGTACCGTCACGTACCACGATTCTACCCAACCATTTCCCCTAACCCCCCTAAATACCCACCCCACCCCCCTGCCCACATTCTCCGACACTTTTCAGCCCCACCCGCTCTCATTCCACTCAAAATTATTATTATTAAGAAAAATGATGTCTCGAATTTTCCGTTTTAATTAATTCAATAATTATTGAAGATTATTTTATTCTACTCCTGATGGAGCCGGAATTGTTAAGTCGATTAATCCTCAATTAATAATTTTTTTAAACTTGAATTTAAAAATTATTAATAACTCCTATTTTTTTTTCTGGTAAAAAAAATTGAATTCTCAAAATTTTGGGACTCATTTTCTCCAGACGTGTATCTTCCTCTTCAAAAAATGATTTAATTAAAATCACACATGAGAAATTTACTGAACACTGTCGTAACAACAGTTAATCATCATTAAAAAATGCGAGAGATATAATAATGAATCACGAATTGTTCTGGTAACAAAGAAAATAACGGATCCATCAGTCATGAAATAAAATAAATCTCCAGCAAAAATTCCAAACGACAGTGCATTTACACTGCAATCACACGAAACCAATAAATAAACAAATGACAAATTGTCACGTACGGTGATACAAAAATTTCGCCTGGTGTAACAGTAATTTGATAATAAAAACCGAGGTAAGAAGCTTGTCGAACCCGGGGATTTTATATAATACCGTGAAATGGGAAAGAGGGGGATAAATGGGGGAAAGGGAGGTGAGAGAGAGTGAGAGAGTGAGTGAAAAAGAGAGACTCCAGGACACCATTCCAGCGATGCCGGAGCCGTGTTCCAGCAGTTTCTCGCGGGAGGCTGGAGTGACACCACAATGCTATGTAGCAATTTGTAGGCTCGCCCTTTCGTTCCTCTCCATCTCCCTTTCCCTCACAGCTAAACCAAATCTCTTTAGCCATGTTCTGCCCCCTTTTACTCGAAATTCATTTTTTTTTAATAATCCGACAAATTGTTAATCGATTCGTGCAGAAAAAATGGAGCGGTTTGCATTTTTTCATTATTTTATTTAATTGTTAAATTTTATGTTCGTCCAAAAATTAAAAACCGAATTCAACGAAAATTCCTTTTTACCGAGAGTTCCAGCAAAAATCTTTTTCCAGTGGAAAAAATTGCCAGAACAAAAAATTCTAGATAATCTTTCAGTCGTTACATTTATTTGCTGATTAATCCATGAGACAATTAAATTTCTTTTCCCTAGAATAATTAATTTTCAATAAAAATTTAAAAGAGAATTATCCCCAAATTAAAATCGAACAACTGATAAAGAGTTATTGGCTTGATTCAGCGTAAGCTGTTGGATGAAAAAAAAAATGTAAATTTTCTGGAGACTTTTGTTGGATTTGCCTGGCAATTTTTCCATTGGTTCGTTTTTCAGCGGTTTGTTGGGCTGTGCACCGATGGCCGCCTCCACCGATCGACACTGATAAACAGTACGCGGCCAAGTGGAGAACCAGAGGTGCACATATCCACAAGTTGAAAGAAGATGGTAAAAAAAAAAGGTATAAGAGACACAGAACAGCCCGAGAAAGACACCGACGAGGGATTTGCGACTCTTTACTCTCCATCGGCCATCGTGCCACCAACAGCACGACGAAAGATCCACCAGTCTTTTTACCCCCATAGGTTTTCGATCCTTTATTGTAATCCTTATCCCTTACGTGAAATAAAAGAGGTAAGGTAGGAGAAAAAGTCAACTCTGTCCGACACCCGCGTGACGACCGTGAGAGAGATTCAGTGTAATGCCACCGAGAGTGGAGAGACCAAAAAGATTCACTCCGATATCTGTACTATTGCCTTTTACTTAATTCTGTGGTCAAAGAAAAGGACAACATTCCCCTACATTCCCTCAAATACTATCTCTCATTAAACCTCCCCTTCAATTAATAATAAATCGATCAATTCGATGGACGAATAAATCATTAATTAATGAGTCACTCCAAAAAAAAAATTTACTCAATGCGGATTAATTATTCCACGTATAATTAATTGAAGGGTATTTAAGGAGAGTTTGAACTTAGTTTTTGCTTTTGTCTTAAAAATCCTTACAAATAACGGAATTTAAATTTCAATCAATTTTTTTCTCATCTCCCACCCCCAAAATTACAAGATGGTGTCCCCCGATTATTATTTATCCGTGAACACGATTCAATAAGACCAACAATAAAATCAGTGGTTATTAATTTGACGCGTCGTCGCACCAGGGGGTGATTGCCGGCTCACCACAGGATGCCCTGGACGTGCCCTCACCAGAAGATGACTCTACAGATACCCCTAAACCCGTATTCAGCATTAAAATGTTAATGCACACCCAGTGGAAGAGAAAAAAAAATGAGATGAATCAACTGGAGAAATAAAATTAACGCCTTTCCACACCTCGATGAAAAATTTCATCGACGATTTATCGTGTGATCGATGTTACTAGAGAGGTGATAATGATCTCTGTGGCTATTGAAACAACCGACCGGATGAAATGGGGGCCCATGTATGGGGTGAAGAATATGGGAAGGGGCACGACATTAACCGCGTGGCGTTATTAACTTTGTAACACGCGGAACTAATTAGTCCTCTCTCTCTCTACACTCGTGAACACGACGATCCAATATATCTGTAGTGTATTAACCTGACCCGTACACGTCCACTCGGGACAATGACTCAATGTTGTACATCATTTTCGATTAATTATTATTTTTAATTGCTTCGCAACAGAAATTAGAATGACCCACAGACCGTCGACTGTTTCATTAAATAAATCACGCAAAAAATATACGAGAAACTGGGGAAAAGTAAAAAAAATCTGAATGTCATAATCTTTCATTAATTATCATCATTGATCAATAATTATTTGATTTGTAATAAAATAAATCAACTGGGGGGTTGAATAAAATTTTAAAAATAAATAGAAAATGAGAATTGGATAATTTTTTATGAATTCTCGTTTTTTAATTGCACGAGAGTGAAAGATGTGAGATAATCAGACATTTTTATACTTTTCCAATAAGAAAGCCTGAGACCTGTTCGACAAGAAACCACGTGAAAGTATCCTGGACACATCGTCCCCGATGTTCCCATAACCGGCGCTGGTAAAACGTTAAATTCCCGAGCCCTGAATTGTATCAGACCTCCACGTGTCTGCTATAACATCGAATTAACCATACGATTTACAACACAAGGGTGCCCTAACACTTTAACTCATGGACACTAATTACGCCTCTAATTGCACACTTGAAAACCCTTCAACACGCCCCGGGGCCTCAAGCATGAATCAGAATCTAAAAAAAAAACAATGGAATTAAACCCATCGTCGCTAATTACTTTCCCCTCCTCGACTATATAAAATAGCCTCCAACTAAAACGCCTGGGATATTTGAATTTACTAGATTTACTCTATTCGACGAATAGAAATTTGATTCCCTCATTTCCCGCCAGAAGCAGTCGCGCACGTGCGACCCGGAAGTTCCCCCCAATTCAATCCCGCCAAAAAGCAGAGACATCATGAAGAAATTCTCTTAGAAAAAAACAATAAAAAAAAAATCAGCTCAACTGTTTTACAAAGCCCGAGGTATCGCGCGGTTATCACAAACGATAGGACCAGAACTAATGTTCGTTTGGATAACAAATCCGGTGAATAAGCCGACAGCAAAGCAAAACGCATAACAACATACCCACGAGAAAACACCATTGTAAAACAAAACAAATAAGCAAAATGGACTCACGTTTCAGGGGCTTTGGATTGCTCTGTTTGCGGCGTGACATCCTCCCCTCGGCTCATCCATCACCAAATCAGCGACACCATAGCTGAACACAGACGATCACGATGATCCAGGGTATGATAATGCCCGACTAAACACAACACGCAAAATAAAGAAAAAAAAAAAACAAAAGAGAAAAGCGAAATAATAGCAGTGAGAGGTTGGGAGTATAAGCAGACACTCAATAGCACTCGTGTTCACTCGTTTACACCGAAAAAACTAACGGAGGGCTTTTTTTATTTCGCGATCACGAGTTATGAACCCTCTTGACACTTCACGCCACAACACATCGTCCCTCTGCCGCTGTCAGCGGACAACTAAACCACCGCTGGCGCTAAACAACCCCCACCACCTCAGCACGCGGCGTGACTCGAGTGCTCGAGTCATCATTCGCCAATACCCCGGAGTGGGAAAAACTCGGACTCCGCCCCCTCGCTCCATTTATTTAAAAGTCCCAAAAATATAATTTTACACGTTAAAATTAGCCACTACAATTTACACACGCGAACCGTTCGACAGTTCAATCGATACTGTTTTGATTTTGCGAATGGAATGTTTTGTTTGGAAACACCGAGGTATGTTTGGGTTGAGTCTATTTGTATTTGATACGGTATCGTTATTCAAACACTGGTGTTTACCTTGAAATAAGTGACACCGTCGATACTGAATTATTAGTTTTAAGTCGGTTACTGTATTTTCCGGATTATCGGCTGCTGGTGGCGGTGTACCACGTGGGATGGAAGTGGTGGAGGTTACGAGAATTGTTTTTGATTATTGTGGAGTGAAAATGACGATTGTGGAATATTTTCAAACATTGACGGATAATCCGTATTTTGGGGCTGGTTTTGGACTGGCTGGACTGGGGGTTGGAGCTGCTGTACTTCGGAAAAGCAGTCAATTTGCTATGGTTTTGTTTAGGTGAATTATTTTTTGGTTGGATTGTCCAACAATTTCATTAGTGAATAAATTAAAAAGACAGAGAAGATAAATTAACAGAGTTCAGACCCACAACAATGGAATAAGTGGAATTTGAAATATTTTTCACCTTTTGCCGATCTCGTCTTCTGGGATTTGATGAATTAATTAATTTTCTAGGCGTCATTATATGATAACCCTCGAGGTACCGTGCAGGGATAAAAGTTATCAATGGCTTTTACAATGGATAACGCACAAAGGTGCTAAAAAAACCCAGCACTTGTCCGTGGAAACTAGTTTTGAGTTAAAAGACACTGGAAGTGTCAACACGAAATACGAATTCATCCCAAGCATTGGAACTCACTTCTTCAGGTATTGGAAATTTTTCTAGGTTTTTTGAGAGTTCAATCACTCTGTTTTTAATAGAAGAAAACCATTACTAATTGAAAAAGATATAAAGGCAACTGGATAAGAGTTGAGAGGACCAGAGAGCAGCAGACACTCGACCTCCACATGGGAATTCCCTGGGAGACTGTCGTCCTGACTGCTTTTGGGAATGATAGGAGTATTTATTTCGACATTCTTGAAGAAGGTATCTACCACAGTCCCTAGCCAATAATTCTGAAATTATTTGTATTTCCTTCTCTTGAATTTTTCTTCAGCCCGACAAATGGCTCTGAAAGAACACGAGGGCAAGACGATAATGTACACAGCGATGGGAAGCGAGTGGAGGCAATTTGGACATCCGAGGAAAAAGAGACCGATTGAATCAGTGGTTTTGGATCAGGGAATTGCAGAGAGAATCGTCAAGGATTGCAGGGAATTCATTGAGAATCCTGGGTGGTACAGTGATCGAGGTAATTCTCGTCTACTGGAAGAGAAACGAGAGAGAATGACCTATATTTATTTTCAGGTATTCCTTATAGACGTGGGTATCTTCTCCATGGCCCTCCGGGCTGTGGAAAATCCTCGTTCATCACAGCTTTAGCTGCAGAATTAGAACGAGGTATTTGCGTTCTGAATTTATCGGAAAGAGGACTCACTGATGATCGGTTAAATCATCTTCTAGCTGTTGCTCCACAGCAGACGATTATATTACTTGAGGATGTTGATGCTGCCTTCAGTAGTCGAGAAGAAACCAAAGAAAGTACGGAAATTCAATTGCTGTTCGTCTCTTTGTGATAATTTTCAATGATTTATCATGATTTTCTTTGGGTTTCGTTACTTTTCTAGTGAAAGCTGCATTCGATGGACTCAACCGAGTCACATTCAGTGGATTATTAAATTGTCTCGATGGAGTTGCCTCCACTGAAGCTCGAATTTTATTCATGACAACGAACTATTTAGAGAGATTGGACCCCGCCCTGGTGAGACCAGGAAGAGTCGATGTTAAAGAATACATCGGTAATTAGAGATGATTAAAAAATTTTGAATCACGATTTCTACTTCGTTTTCCTGTGATAATTAATCAGTTAATTTTTTAGGCTGGTGCAGTGCAATTCAGCTGGAGCAAATGTTCCTCAGGTTTTACCGAGGCCCAGAGGGTACGAATCCTCAGGCCCTAGCGAAACAATTTGCAGAGGGTGTAATGAGTTTTAACAAAAACGTGAGTCCCGCCCAGATTCAGGGATTCTTCATGTTCCATAAGAATTCCCCTGATCAGGTGCTCAACAATGTCGCCCAGATTTGGGAGCTCACCTAATTATTTTGTACTCGTAGTCGAAATAATACAGTGAATACAACTTTTTAAAGTAATAGTCTTTTATTTACGTATAAAGTATCACTTGGACTTATGATAAATGATTGCATTTTTCAATCTAAAGCTAGCTTATTGAACTGGAATAATGCAGATGTGCTCGTGAGATCGAGTGAAAATGTTTAATTAAAAATGAGAGTTTATATTGGAACGTGAAATAGCACTGGTAGAAATCAATCAGAAATTAATTAACAACTTGAAAAAAAAATCACATAGTCTTGAATAAAATTTTCCCACCATTATTCAATATCCAGTTAAATAAACTGTTAAACTGAGAAATTAAACAACAAAATGATAACACAATGGAAGTCTCACTTCCCTCAATTTTGTTGCATATCAATAATAACGAAAACCAAACATTGGGACATTGAAAAAACCAACAACAAACTGAATTTCAATTTCCTCTAACTCAACAACTCTCAAATAATTAAAGAACTTGTTCCTCAAATTGAATTTCTATCAGTGAATTCAGTGGGCCCTTAAAAATTCCACATGTACGGTTCATAATTGAGGGGATCCGGTTGTTCCATGTGACCGCCATTTCCTACCATACAGGAGGAATATCCTGCAGGCACTTGCGTCGCCATGCGACAATCAGGCCTCATGACAGGTGTCACATGGATTTGTTGAGAAGTGCTGGGTGTCAAAGGAGTGAGAACACTGACAGGCTGTAGTACATTAGAATTCGGGTTGTAAGGGCTGATTCCCTCGTCATGGAATTGCATGGGTTCCTGCTCAATTCCAGGAACTTCTGGAGGAGCCTGAATACTCTCCACAGCCCTAGTCCCCTCTTCACTCCTGACATCAACACTTTTTCCCTCATCCTTTCTCATTTTTCTCTTGGCAGGGGCCCTCCTGCTTACCCCCTTCTTCCCCACTGACTTTTTACTGGTACTTTTTCTCAGAATCCTGGGCCTGTTGGGCCTGTTGCCACTGGGCTGCCACAAATGAACAGTGTGAACAGCATTGCCCTCGCCCTGTTTTTTCCCTAATTTCCAGCTGTGAATTCCAGCTTTGTGAAGCCTCTCCCTGATCGTATCAACCGAGCAGTTGAGCCCCAGAGCTGGAGCCACATGTTTGGCAGCTGTCAGAGGATTTTGGGTTGCCATTGCGATGATGGCATCGTCCTGCTCCTTCGTTGTGATTCTCCTTCTACCCTTTCTCTCCTTTGTCTGGACATTTCCCTCTTTCTTCCAGCGCTCCAGCCACCTCTTGACAGTCCTCTCAGACCTGTTGATGGCTAGAGCTATTGACAGAGTTGATAATCCAGCCTGGGACATACCAATCATCCTGTTCCTCAGCTCCACTGATGTCTCCAGAGTACCCTTCGCTTTTCCTCCCTTCTTCCTCTTCTCGGCATTCATTTCAGCCTGATCCTCTGCAGAAATTTCCCCAGGACCTGCTGGTGGCGCCATTACAGTGTCTTCTAAGGCGACATCAACCGTTTGAGGCTCAGTCGAAGAATTTGAACTGGAAGAGCCCTCAGAGATATTCACTGGCTTGCTGTGTTGGTCCAGACTCATCTGGGGCTCCAACTGATGGTGAATCTGATTGTTCTGAGGGTAGAGCTCCTGGAGGTGCGAGGAAGTCGGTGGGGGAAGATTTCCAGGATTCTGGAGGTACTCACTCGGATTCTGAGTGGATTGAACTAGATCAAGAGGCCAATTCTGAGATATATTCATTTCTGGGTGATACATCTGTTGATTGGGGACAGCCTGTGGGTGAAATTGATTCTGACTATCCATGAGTTGTTGATGGGGAAGAGGAGGAAGATCATTACAGTGGAGAACAGTTGGAGGATTGAAAGGTATCTGCGGGACCACCTCCAGCTGCTTCTCAGGTGTTTCACAGGTGGTAGTCTCCTTCGGTGGGGATTTCTTCACCGATTTTTTCCTCTTGACCTTTGGGGGGCTCGTTTTAGCTCTCGATGGGGTCTTCAGGCTTTTCTTCTTCCCTAATTGGGTGCCAGTGGGTCGCCAAACTGCCTGTTGCAGGGCTGCACCCTCAGCCTCTCCCAGAGGAATCCTCTGGATGTGCTTTCTCGAGGGACTCCAGTTGTGAATTCCTGCCTTGTGCAGGCGTTCTCTGATTGTGTCGACTGAGCAGTTGAGCCCCAGGGCTGGTAACACTGCTTTTGCTGCTGTTATTGGTGTCTGGGTTGCTAAACGAACGATTGCATCGTCCTGTTCGCTTGTTGTCGCTCGTTTTCTACCGCATCGCTCTCTAGTCTCCACTGTGCCTTCCTTGTCGAAGCGGTTCAACCAGCGTTTCACTGTTCTTTGCTGAAATAAGTGGCATAAGTCGAATTTTCGAGCTCCTTGAATATATAAAATCATTTAAATTAAACAGAAAACTTACTGAACAGTTAATTGCTGCTGCGATCTCACGCAGCCCTAGTCCAGCCTCATACATTCCTACCATTCGATTTCTCAACTCTGGAGTTGTCTCATGAACTCCTCTAGTCTTTCCCATCTTCACAATTTCCTCTTCTACAGGATCACTAACTCATCACTTGCAATCCGAGAATTTATTTATTTGAACCCTCCCCCCACAATTGTCATGTCACGAATCACAAAACGCAGAAATCACGGAATCACAGGCGTATGTATTAAATCTTAAATTCATATTTTTAAAGAATAATCTCAAAAATAACTCACAAAAATTGAATATTTATCACGTTCCCATCAGTCAATAAAAGTCCATCAGCTGTACAGTCCGTGGAAATCTTTTGTCCACTGTCTTTTCACCGAATTTCACAACTCATAACAGTCCACCACTTTCCTGAATTATTTTTCTACCCACATACACCTTCTGATATATCCACTGTCCTCATTCACAAATTAATCACCAATTTCGGATAAATTGTTTCATTGTAACAATGAAAAATGGGCGTTGAGCATTGTCAATTTCTGTGCTACAATCCACAGAAGATCTGAGGAATTGTGTACAGTCTGGTCGATACAAAAACGTAAATCGCCCAAAAACCGGTGAAAAAGGGTTAACAAACAGCTCCTCTGGAGTAGAAACCCTCAAGAGACCCATCGAAAAACGATTTACCTCCAACTAAAGACCGAAATACCGATTTCTGCTTTTCCCGGTGATTTATTTGAAGAAGACAATAATTTCTACGCTTGTATCGACTGTACTCGATAGCAATATCGAACGTTCATTGGACGTCGAGACTGAAAGGGTTGAAGAGGGGGAGACACTATAGTGCACCGAAAATTTTCTCGAACATCCCCCAGAGGGCGAGGACGCCAAAATCATCGTCAATTGTTTTTCTTTTTGACCCAGTGACGCAGTTTCACCCTCTCAGATGCTTTTTACGTCATTATTTCGTAATAAACGACAGAGGATTGCCGAAAATTACTAGAAAACAATTTCTAAATACTTGTAAAAACAGAGAGAACAATTGAACGAGGAAAATGTCACAACACGCAATTCCACTGGACATTCTCGATGATCTCAGCAGGTTAGTTTGCTCCAGTAAATTTGGTGGCATTTTTCAAAATACTATTTTTCCAATTAACTATTTCGTTGCTGAATTATGAATTTAAAAAACAGATAAATATTTATCATTCCAGTCGATTTATTATAAATGTCCCAGAAGAAGGTCGCAAAGACTTGGTGAGAATTTGTTTCCAAATAGAATTAGCCCACTGGTTCTACATCGATTTCTACTGCACCGAAGAAAATCCCCGGAATCTTCAGTCATGTGGAATGAAGGAATTTGCAACTCACATCTTCAAGCACATTCCTTTCCTCCAGCCAAACCTATCGAGAATAGATTCAGTTCTAGATCAGTGGAGAGAGTACAAGCAGAGTGTGCCGACCTTTGGGGCAATTGTCCTGAATGAGGACATGACGAAGGTCCTCCTGGTGCAGAACTACTGGGCGAGAAATAGCTGGGGTTTTCCCAAGGGGAAAGTCAACGAAGACGAGGACCCGAGTCACTGCGCGGTTCGAGAGGTCCTGGAGGAGACTGGCTTCGATATTTCTAAATTAATCGACAAGAACGAATACATCGAGTCGACGATCAACGATCGACTCGTGAGATTGTACATAATTACTGGAGTCCAGAAGGAAACCAAATTCCAGCCCAGAACGAGGAAGGAGATCAAGAGTGTCGAGTGGTTCTCCCTCATGGATTTACCCAACAATCCCAAAGATATGACCCCCAAGGTCAAGATGGGAGTGGGACCAAACGCCTTTTTCATGGTTGTACCTTTCGTCAGGTGAATATTTGAATGAGTAAATTGATTATACAATTGATGGAGGGAAATTTTGATTTTTAATTATTCTCGGGACTTTAGGCGAATGAAACGGTGGGTTTTGGAAAAACAGCAGAAGGCCAAGCAATTGTCAACTACTGCCAAAAGACATAGACGTAAATCACTCGGGGATGCTGAAAGTGGAGTGAGAAACAGACGTCAAGGACTTCAATCACAGGTTTGTGAAATGGATTTTAGGAAAAATGCCGTTTTACCACGGTTTTAAAAAGAATTTATATATTTTTATGGATGCAGAATGGCTGCACCGAAATAAAGAACGAGCGACAATCAAACACATCTCCAATGGGTTATCGACGTGCCGCAACGAAAAATCTCTCAAAAAGTACTGACAAAAATCCAAAAGGAGCGATAAAACGAAATTTATTCGGTGAGCCTGGTGACGATAGGAGCACTAAATCCCCATCAGTCCTCGCTAAACAATTGACTGACAGTCCGAGGATTGAGTCTCAGACATTTGTCAAACAGAATCAACGTAAATCTCGGTTTGAAACCGACAAGAAAGAAAAAAATATGCACACACTGCTGACAGATGCAGTGAGAAAAATGCACTTGAATTCTCAAGAGCCCTGTGACATTTACCAATTACAACCGAGAGTTTGGATGGACTTCACATTCGACAAACAAGCGGTGCTAAATTGTATTTAATTTCACGAATAATTTTTTATGTCCAACTATTTGGAATTCTATGATTTATGATACTTGACATGTGATATTGATGATAAAACGCCATTTGGTTTAGGTATTAAGAATGTGATCTCAGTGCCGTTCCTGATACTCTTTTTTTTTAATTTTTGTTTATATGTTGAAATATTATGTGAACAAGCAGAAATAAATTTTTCAAGATATATCTGTGACTTTGGTACTCTGGGGCAGATGGAGCCACGTCTCTATCTTTGTGATTATTTTATTCTACGTATGTTGTTTCTCAATGAAAATTGAACGTCTCTACGATTTTTAATAAAAAATAAATTTGAGTAAAATTGGAAATATGGGAGAATCCAAGGGTGACACCTTTTGCAAACAAATGAGAGCAGCAACTAGGGAAATTCATGCTGTGAGTGACGCTCTGGTGAATGCTAAATTGGCATTCGGTGGGTTCAATTAATTTTTAGGTATAAAAGTTGATTAAATTCCTGGTACTGATAATTTTATAAACCTCAGGTCTGCAGGACGATAAAGTCTGGGCAGATGGACTCCTGGTGTTCTACGAAATATTCAAGTATCTGGAGAAGGCTATGCCTGGAGTAACGAAGAAACACGAAATTGATAATATAATACCTCAGGACATGGAGAGAACTAAAGCCTTCGAGGAGGATTTGAATTTTTATCTTGGCAGTGAGTGGAGTAAAAATTACACACCCAGGTGAATTCCACAGTTAAAATGCCCATTCGATTTATTATTTAAATTTCGATTCATCCAACAGAAAGTTAATCTCGAGATTAAAGAGAGTCGACAACCCGATTTCAATTTTTATTCCAGAGAAAGTGTTGTTCAGTATTTGAACCACTTAAAAGAATTAGAATGCACAAAACCGATTCTTCTGTTGGCCTACGTCTACCACCTCTACATGGGCCTTTTGAGTGGTGGAATAATCCTCAGAAAGAAGAGACAACTCATTCAGAAATTGTCTCCCTTCAAATCCACGCACAAACTGGAGGGAAATCACGTAACGGATTTTGGGGAGAGTTCGATTTACAAATTGAAAGAGAATTTCCGAAGGAAGATGAATGAATTAGCAGAGGGTCTCGATGAACTGACCAAAGAACAGCTTATCGAGGAAAGTAAAGTCGTATTTGTAATGAATAATCAGATAATCAGGAGTGTACAGGGAGCCAGTGCTGTGATGATAAAGAAAATTATTTATGTGATTACGATTTTACTCGTGTTAATTCTCTTTTATATTTTTAAGCGATAAACAATTCATTATTCCATTGTATATTCTTCTATTTCAATTTTTTATGGAATAAATTATTGTTTAAAAGCCCGTTTTTTATGGGTTTTTAATTTTTTCCCTCTTTAATTGCTGCAACAGCTGATTTCAAGGGCACTGGAGTTTGCCCCCGGTTCAGATGTCAACACTCATCACCACAATTCGAAGTGAAAATGTGATGAGCTTTTATTTCCTTATGTTACACGATCACTGGACTTTATTAATTTATTTTAAATATAGAAAATCTCAAGAAAGAGATTCGGAGGGCCTAATTAATTGATAAAAGCATAAAAAATTATGAATGGAGGTTAGAATGAGTACAATCTCCACACAAAACTCGATTAAACCCCAATTTTTCCGGTTTTTTGAGTGAAAATTAATGAATACTCCAAAAAAATGCAAAACGAAAAATTTTCTGTTAAATATGTGCCAGTGAAAAATTGTTTCGTGATTTTACCGAGTGCCTGGTACCACAGACTATCGTCTCAGGTAAATACACTGCAATTCGATAAATAAAAAAATAATAATAGTGGAAATCCTTAAAAAATAGATTGCCCAGGGGGTGATAAAACTGTCATACGAGGAGAAAGACTTTTACCTCTCTGCATCCCAATCTCAATCGAGTCCGACTGATTTTCTGTGCATAAGTGCAACATTTGGGAAATATTTGAATATAAAAGAAGGTGCAGAAGTTAATGTTTCTTATATTCCTGATCCCCCTGCACTCACAACAATCACTGTACGACCTTTCAACTCTGAAGACTGGCAGATTGTGGTGAGTTAAAATTATGAGGAAAGATGTATCGATAATAATGAATGAAATGTCAATCAATCATTATTATTCCAACTGTCTTTATTAATGTACCCAGAACCTACAAGTCGAAAAAATTCAATCAACTCTACTCCATCAAATAAATATCGCATCTCCAAACCAACCAATCGTCATCTGGCTCTCGAAATACCTGAATGTCGCTCTGTTAATTGGTAAGCCATTAAATATTAATTCCCATAATTAATTAGATTATTTTATCCCACTGACACTGACCCCAGAATTTATCCTCCGAAAATCTCTTCTATTAATTAAAAAAAATCCTCAGATTTTGTCCTTCGCACGAAAAATTACAAAGTGATAACAATATAATTAATAACTCTCGTATCAGAGAAAAAATCATTAAATCGAATTTGTTCTTGAAAAAAATTCCGTTATCCCCCAATAAAGATGGAAATAAATTGGAGTTTCGGTCCATATCTGACGAAGTTACCCCAGTGTTATAAAACAGCCGTCGGCCTTTATTGAAGAGATCGATAAAGGGCGGTGGGTGGGAGAGAATGGAGAGGAGAATTTCCGTGGGAGGGAAAGAGTCCTTGCGCTATGCAGACGTTCCAAACGACTTTTTCTCTTCAGCAAATTTTCCCTCAACGAAAAGAAAATTATTATCTCATTTTCAGAGTCAATCTCCCCCCCATTTCTGTACGGAAAACTCGAGAATTACACGGAAGTTCACGTTCAGGATGCAACGGAGGATAAAACTCCTGGTGATGCTATTCCAAAAGAAATTACGACGCATTCACGTTACAGAGAAAACGAGTCAGATTGCGAGGTTTTTCTGAAGAGCTGGAGGCACCAGGACCTCCCGAAGATATTCCGTGTTTGTCTGGTCTCGGTTGAGAAAAAATACAGAATTAATGAGGGAGTTCTAGAGACTCAAATAACATCTCCTCACAATATTTTCGTATGCTCCAACCAATTGAGAGAATTTTTTCCTGATAGGGATAATTTTTCGATGGTCTATGGGAGAATTGAGAAGATCTTCCAAGATAAACAAAGCACCAATTTAATTTTTACTCCCAATGATCAAAGAATTAATAGAGATCCAGAGATCATCGTGAGTCTCTCACGAGTCGAAGAATTGTTTAACAAACAATTCATTGGAACAAATGTTGATGAGAAGAATATCTGGATCTCAGAGGATTTAGCGAGAGATTCAAATCTGCGATTGGGTTCAAAAATTCACATCAAGCCCCTAAATATCACAGATAACACAATAACGTCTCTACAACTGCTCTGCCCTCCGAATTTCGATAGAGAAACCGGAGAAAATCAATTTAAAAATTACGTACGTGTGAATTCTATCAAAAATGACTTGGTAATATCCCAAAACATGAGAGTTTCATTAGAAAAGGGAAAATGCAGAGTGAAACTTCACCCAGAAGACGTTCCCCACGTTCTTCTGAACGAGGAAACACTGAAGGCGATAAAAATCGAGATAATTGAGGAGGGGAACCTCGAAGAGGCCCAAGAAATTCCCCAAGTCAACGATTTCAGAAGCGAAGATGTTTACGTCTCTCCATTAACAAAAATTCTAGAGGACTCAGTGCAAGTCCTGCAAATGGGCCTGAGCCCCCAAAGATACCCCTTCCCCCTCGAGAATATATTAATTTGTGGGGATATTGGAACAGGCAAAACGACTTTTCTAAATTTCCTCCAGCACAAGCTTCGGAGCCCCCCGAACTTCATGCACACGATTATCGTCGACTGCAAAAAATTGAAGGGTAAAAAAGTGGACGCAGTCTCAAAATTTTTCACCTCTACGATACACGACTGCGTGTACTACCAGCCCTCAGTACTCTTCCTTGATAATTTAGAGAGTATTACGAGTTTTCCTAGTGACGAAGAGAATTCCCCGGATGCCACGAATGCCACGAGGATCTCAGAATATTTAAACAGTCTCCTAACGATTTATCAGTCCAGCCACTTAATTTCTGTGGTTGCATCAACCACTAGAGTAGATAAATTGGGGGTTGGGCTGAGGCCTGCACGAGGGGTTCACGTTTTTCAAACGATTTTAAATATTCCTTTACTCTCACGAGAGGAGAGAGCAGAATTTTTAGAGTTCAATTTACAAAGGAAAGTGGAAATTTCGAGTGAAATAAATTTTGAGTTTTACTCTGGGAAAACCGAAGGGTGGGTGTTCCAGGATCTTTCAGAACTTTGTGAGAAATCGGTATTTCTTACTTGGAAGCGTCGAAGAAGGTCTCCAGTCCTGGAGGATGAGGATTTGTCCAGGGCTCTCGATGTGATCAAGCCTTTGTCCCTGTATGGGGTGTCTCTGTTCACTGGAGATGGAAACAACTGGGGAGACATCGGGGGTCTCGAGGAAGTCAAGGAGTCCCTCAGGCAGCTGTTGCAGTGGCCCCTGATGTACCCAGGGCTGTTCCAGAAGGCACCTGTAAAACACCAAAATGGAATTTTATTGTATGGAATGCCAGGAACTGGAAAAACAATGCTAGCTGGTGCCATTGCCAAGGAATGTGGATTGAAATTCATTAATATCAAGGGACCAGAGTTGCTGTCCAAGTACATTGGAGCTAGTGAAGAGGCTGTGAGGAGTGTCTTCGAGAAGGCCCAGAGGATCAGGCCCTGCATTATATTTTTTGATGAATTCGAAAGTTTAGCCCCGAGGTAATTTTTTTTTTCACAAAAAATGAAATCTTTGTGTAATTATAATTTCCATTTAATCACAGACGCGGACACGACTCCACTGGTGTAACAGATCGTGTGGTAAATCAACTTCTGACCCAATTCGACGGTGTCGAGGGTCGAGAAGGAGTTGCTATTGTAGCAGCCTCATCGAGGCCCGATCTGCTGGATCCGGCATTACTGAGACCCGGTCGCCTTGATAAATCGTTACTCTGTCCACTTCCGGATGAGCAAACAAGGGCGACAATCCTTGATACCCTGTGTAAACGTCACGCCATCGACGTGAAAGATCTTGACCTCCTGACACTAGCGAGAATGACAAGTGGATTTACTGGGGCTGATCTCATGGCTATTCTAACCCAGGCTCGGTTAGATGCTGTGGAGGAGCACTTGAAAAAATCAACTGCAAGTACTCGATAATTTGCCCATAATTCAAATTCACACAATCCCTCGTGGAGTATTCAACAAATATCTCTCAATCTAAACCAGATACCGAAATTTTTGTCAAAAACGTTTTTGCAGAGGGAAATGAATTCCACAAAAAAGATATTGACAAAAAATTCACTATCTCCCGTACATTCAGAGATATTTCTCAAAAACCTATTAAGATCGTTAAAATGAGATGAACTCGGATTGATAACAACAGAATGTGAAATCTAATTAAATCACAGAATCCTCCCGCCTGTACGTTCGAAAATTAATAACAGATTGTGATGATATCACGAGCAGTTATCTTCAGTTACTTAGTACTTAGATAAGTAGGTATGCAATATAACTGGGGATACCGTTGGCAGGTTCATTAGCGCATGCCAGGGCAATGCTCACCCCATTCCCCCCCTACGTGGCCCCCTTCATCACAGGATACGCCTGGCTGATTGTCGAGGAGCTTATTCCTTATCTCATACGTTATTATAATGCACTCGAGGTATTTTTGCCCATTATGTCGCCAACAAAGCCCGAATTATTTTTCAGGAGTTGCAGGGGGTGAGGATCACCCAGGACATGCTGATTCGATCAATCCAGGACACTCAGCCCTCCCTGACCCTCGAGGAGATTAACAAATTCACCCGGATGTACGTCTCAATTATTATTTGTAAATCGTTTTTCAGAGTGTCTGGATAATTTTGTTGTGGATTTTCGAATAATTTTTTTTTTCAGATACAATCGATTCCTCACAGGAGACAATGCCCCAGAGGATCTCGAAAAAATCCAGAAAGCCACTCTAGCTTAGACTATATCAACGAATTTGTACTTGGGGATAATAAACTTGTTTATAAAAAATATAAATATGATAACCGGGTAGACGAAGGGAGGTGACAGAAACCTCATCAGACATCCTGACGATTAATGTCCCGAGATAAAGTGGTTCGTTCTCACCTCGTTTTCCCGCGCAAATGATATTTACTCGGACGTTCTAACGCCAAGAAATAAACCGACAATTATTCCACCAAATTTGGTTAAATAAATAAACCTCCCAGACAATCAGCACCTCGAATATATCAATCTGTGCCCAGATGAGCCTTCACTTGTGCTTATCTCAAAGCCCCCCAAAGTTTTCGTATTAATAATCCCAATGATAATTAATATTTTCATACTCGAGTTGGCAGGAAGCAGCACGAGCCTCTGTACACGAAGACACCGGTCTGGGATGGGGTAAAATGTTAACTTGAAGAATCTTGATTTTAAGTTGTTGAGTGGAGGCATATTTCATGGCTCACGCTAATGTCTTGCTAGATAAACTATAATATTAGATGCTAACGTAATGATTTAATTTAACTTTGGCCCAAGCCACTTCCTCGGAGGTTTCGCGGTGAAGGATACAAGGACTTACACATTATGTTGCAACGCCACCGTTTGCTGCATGTAATGGCGCCACGGATCGAGAGATCGATTCGAGATGTTCGATAGGGACAAATTCGCGCGGTTCAACCGAGAAATTAACGGCCAAACGGTCGAACCGGTCGCGTCATTTTATTCAATATTACTCTGTGTGTGTGTTAAATCAGTGAATCATGTACTGATAATACTAATTACTCTCACCAAGTACGTTTATTAATTACTAGAAAATCATATGCCAAAGTAAATCGAATTGAAGTCAATTAATCAATCAGAATTTTTTTTCTCAGGGTTAGCTGTCGCGGGGTTCCAGAGATCTGGCGATGGGTAAGTCAAGGTCACGTTTTTATTATCATTTGCGAAAAGTACATGTTTACCTCACGCAATGTCCTGGGGACAATGAAAATGGAAGAAAAGGGGGCATGAATGAGACTCTATTCTGATAAAAAAAGAAGTAGCTCGAGGGAGAACAGTCGATATTGCTGTTTGTATACCTCAGGGTATAGGATTCAGTCTACAATACAACAAAGCATGGATTAGTCATCAACTTCTTATAGTTTATTTATCAGACAGACGATCAATCCCATCGCGGGTAATCTAGAGATTTAGAGGTCTCCAACCGAGAAATATTTTAATCTCAATTTATTCCAAAATTTCTCATTTTGACTCTCTATTTTTTTTTTCAAATCGAGACTTAGAGACGAATTTCTGGTGTAATTTGTACGACAAAATTTGGCGCACTTAATGAAAATATACGTCTGTACGTGGAAGGCGTGTGGCTCTTTGAGATATCAGTTCCAAACAGCCATATGCGTCATACTTTTCAACTTTCATAATGGCCCACGGCTTTCCATTTTTATTTATATACCTTTATTTACGATATTGCGAGTATCAAGCATCAGCTAAGACGCCTGTATTTTTCTCCCTCCAATCTATTTTACTCCAAGATCTCCCACGTGAGAACATCGATTCCCCAGAACTCATTCTTTTTTCCAATGGATCTCCTTACTCCGACAGTTATTGGCCAAATCGTATGACCGAGTGGAAAATATCAGTCGCGGTATTTACCCCCAAAATCCAAAATTGCAGAAATTGTCCGAGATAATTGAGTGTGTTTATTACGGGTACGATCCCCTCTGCATTCACTCTGTGATAGAGTTATTGTAGAATAATAGCAAACGTTGAGCCCTGAATGGCCCTCTGAACAATGCCCTAATTAATCTTACTCCCTTCTGTTACATGAATCCCCTTTTCACCTAATTCACAACGACAATTCGATGACAATGTCCAATTGTCCTTCATTCTTTGTCCCTAACCGTCATACCAAAATTCTCAATATTTAATAATTAATAAAAAAAAAAATTCACCCGACATCCATAATCTCAAAATCCCCGAAAAATCAATTTCCCTAACCATAATGATAATCACTAAACTCAAGTGTCAAATAGATTACTCGTATTTACCGCCAATGTGGCTGTCACGGTCTGTCGGTTGATCGAATTTACAAGAAATTGTCAGTAATAGAATAGCAGATTGAAAAGTCGGAAAATTAATCCGCCCACCCCCTTGTTTACCTTCCACACTGTGAAAAAAAAATTGGTAACAAACACGGGCTGAAGAATCACACGTAAAAATGAAAGATTAAAGGGAAAATAAATGAGCGTAATAGCGGCTTGATACCGGCATGTTGACAAGGGGTTGATAGGGGGTTGGGGTAAAAGGGGGGGGTCGAAGGGGGTAAAGCGTTATTGTGGGCGGTGATGCGCGTCATTTGATTCTGTTCAGTGAATCTAAGGTTGTGTATGTAGGGGTTTGCTTGTGTTAAAGTTGCGCAACGGTTTCAACTAAATGCGATGGGGTGTGAGGGGGTTGAGGGTTTCGCTGAGGGATAGTATAGGAGGAGATTGTAGCCCGCAGGCCGGTGAACCTAATGGAAACAAGAAATTGCCACAAACAGTGTTACTTATGCCTCGTCGCCTCGTAAATATCAACGGCAACCAACCTATCCAACGGTTATAAACGTTTTGCCCAGTCACTGTATAAAAGGCCTTCTCTCGATTGAAATATCCATCCCAGCGCCATATCCCAAACTCTATTTTCAACGAATGATAAATTATTCCCCTCACCCCCTTCTCGCGCCCCATCACAAGTTCCTGAAATTTATTTGAACAACAAAACATTTTTTTATATTTATGAATTTTATTGAGATTATTCAATCTGAAATTCAGTCACATGACGATTTTTTATTTCGGGCGGTAATAATGATTTATATTATTTTAGGGGATTATTTATGTTTTATTTATAATTTTATATTGGTAATACCTGAATTTCTGGGATAGTAACAACTGCATGTGTAACACTCGAGAAAATCATCCCCCTCTCGGGTACTTCTGTCGAATGAAAAGAAAATATGACAAAGTGACGGATAATTCGATTACCAGATCCACTCGGCAAATAGAACAATTTTATTTTCTCCCATTCACGATTGGCGATTAATCCCAAAGTCCTCGAGAGTAGTTGGATATTTACTGAAAATATTTCTCCCCGAGTGTAAGAATCAAGCGTTATTCATACCGAAAAATCATGAGTACATTCTCCTTACGTTTCAATAGAGACGTAAAAATAAAATTCAAAGTTTGTTCAGATGTGAATGTTGACTTGTTGGTAATGGAATTAACTTTTCAAGAAACAGTAATGAGGGATAAAAAATGCGGCGAGCGTCGGTATTTATGCAAACTAATCTCTTTCACCGTGAAATTTTGCGCTTTAACGAAGTTGTAAGGAGTCGAGACATTTTACTCATCCCCTTTCCACCCCCTTCGTCTCAGTTTGTTATTGAATTTGTTGGGGTAGTTATGGAGTATTTGGCCGTCTTGAAAAATTATAATTGACAAACAAATCAATTAGGAATATTGTCCGCAATCCGACAATAAACAATTTTATTATTACAATTAACAATCGCGATTATTCTTCGGTCCATGGGAGTTTGCGGTTCTTTCCCACAAATCATTGAGCTAATTTCTCCCGCATTGAATTTCTCCAACGCATTACACGTGCAACTGTCAAATCAAAATAGGAATACGCAGCAACAATAAGTTATTGCTGTTGAAGGTAAAATGGAATGCCAGTATTTTATACAGTTCCGTTGTGCTACACCCGGTGAATACATCAACAGCCCCAGCATGTGCCCAGAATATATCACAAAATCATAATCCAATAGACGATTCGAATAACACAATTTTCTATTTTGCCCATCGATCTTCTCGGATTGAAAAAAACTAATACTCAGAGAATGAGAAAAAAATTAACAAAATAACACGCGCTGCGTCAACTTAAACCCCGAGGAAATATTCAAGTCCCACGTGAAGAAGAAAATTACATTGACGAGTTGGAGTATTCAAAAGAGAAGAGTGGAAGCATTTTGCGAATGGGTGATGGCGTTTATGACCCTTTTCCCCTCTCTTTCGTTCTACTCACCCGATGAATGGTATAATCAGTGGTCGCGTGGCATCCCATCCCCAACGATACATTCACGCCCCTGCTATCATCAAATTCAAAGCGCGAAAAAAAAAAATTCAATTGAGAATGGAATGAGTGGATTCCCAACGTATCAATTTTCCCCGATCTTATCTCCACTGTACTTCTGCTTCTGAAATATTTCATTTTTTATTCCCCCCTCACAAAATGAACTCTCATATTTTCCAAAAATTCAAATTTTACACTCAATAATCAAAAATCATTACCACTACTTCATTAATTTCGGTTGTATAACGAGAAAAATTTTTTTTTTCTTCCCAGAACTTAAATTAATTTTTTCTAATTTGAAGTAACAAAAAAATAAATGATTTTTGAATTTTTGCGGTTGATTAATATTCTCAATTTTGCAATAACAATTAATTCTGAACAATTTCAATCAGAAGTTGACGTAAAGATTTAGAATGAAATGAAAAAAAAATGATGGAGAGATAAAGTTTTGAATGGATTAATGAAGAGAACACGACAATTTGACTGTGGCAATGTCTAGAAAGGGCTATCGAGTGGCAGTGGTGGGGTTTGTCAATGCCAACACACCTAACCGATAAACCTCCCACCTGTTGCACCAAGTACACTACTTCGCAGTCGTAATATAGCGGACGCCATGTCGAGTAAAGAGCCAATAGTAGAGAAGGTTTTGTGGTGGGAGCCAACGGAGCAGTCCGGTTGGTTGGTCTTTCCCATGGAGTACTTACCCCACGGCTCCTCACCACGCTTGTTTTTTATCCCCCCTCCTCCCCATTTTTTTTTATCATCCACCTCTCCACCCCCTCCTTTTTTCCATCTTTCTTCATCTCACTCTGAGACAAACCCCTGAAAACCACCACTGTGTGCACCGCACACTAGACGACAACCGCAATTCGACCCACCAGTGTTACATACTTTGTCACTTTGTCACGTCAACGAGTGAAGCACCACGTCTGCTCCGTTTCTCGGTACAATCAGTGCAACAATAATCTGTCAATAGCAGAATTAAGAGTTGATTGATTAACGATTTATCGTTAATTGGTGAGATAATTGTGAAATAGTGAATGTGAAAAGGAAGAAGAACCACCGAACACGTGTTAATCCACCAAATCCAGTGTTTATCATCGATCATGATGATGTGCTTCGACATGTGCAACGAAATCACCAGGTGAAGTAATTGGTGATCAAGAAAGCATCAAGACAAACTCAATCAGAAGACTGACTCCATCAAGATGTCATCGAAAGCTCTTCACAACGAGCACATTAAGCGACCGATGAATGCCTTCATGGTGTGGTCCAGAGGTCAACGACGGAAGATGGCCCAGGAGAATCCCAAGATGCACAATTCCGAGATATCGAAACGATTGGGAGCCGAGTGGAAGCTACTGAGTGAAACTGACAAGAGGCCATTCATCGACGAGGCAAAACGTTTGAGGTAAGTCATCCCCTGGAGCTCAGGCTGAACCCCAGAAATTAAAGTACAATCCTCCCCAAGTACCCCAATAAAAGAAAAAGACAAAAATAATAGTGGTTTCTCCTTTTTAGAGGGACCAACCTACCCACACCCCCTACACACCCCCCGAATTATGTGAAATCTATTTTTATGTGGAGCGAGATCGTAAAAATAAAAAGCAGGATGATAAGTCGTTGGTGCTGGAACAGCCTGGTCTGTAACAGTATATTATATATCTATATGGAGATATAGTATAGAAAACCGGGCGTTCCGTTGAAGCCGCGCTGTCACTGGCTTAACGTAATCTGTCCGTTCGTTCACGGCAACTCACAATGTGGCCCTCGAGATAACAAATAAAGCTCCATTGTCGCAATTGTGTGGATTTAAAAGGATTTGCTCCCCGCTACGGGGGATTTTGCGCGACCCTCTCAACCCCCAGAGTGTACACGCCCGGCTACCTATACCCTGTCCATTCCCAATGATGCTCTTCTCGGTATTCAAATTCTCTATACCACTGCTCGAGTTTTCCATTGTTATATTCCTTGTCACTCCACATAAAAATATGTTCCTACAATAATTGATTAGTAATGATTGGAATTTATTGAGAGTGAGAGATTTTTTGAGTTGATGATTTAAGACTGAGGACTTGTTTGCCGCAGGACACTGCACATGAAGGAACACCCGGACTACAAATATCGTCCCCGGAGAAAGCCGAAGTCGTTGATGAAGAAGGAGAACAAGTTTGGATTCAGTCTGTCTCCACTGTTGTCCCCGCATAATGATTCACTGGGAGGGATATCCCGGGGCCTTTTGCCGCCATCACTGGCACCACCGGCCCATCATCATCTTCTCAGTCATGACGATCTCAAGATCCCCAGGTTCTTTCCTTCATTTCCGTACTCGCTGTATCCAGCGATTCAGCACAAACTTGGAGATGGCTTGAACGGTGGAAAATTGGCAGCAGATCTGACGTTTCAGGCGATCTATGGATCCAGCTCGTTTTACAGTAATCATCATCAGATGACGGGGTGGCCCCGGCTGACGACAGCCTCTCCAACGTCTTGTGTCCAGGGCAACTGCAGTTGTCCATCACCTCCTAGCCCATCCTTAAATAAGGATTCGATAAAGAGACAGTCTTTTCTCCCCCAGAATCTCAGCAAAATTCCAACAGATAACGAATCTTTTGGGAATTCCTTCGACGAGGAACGGCGCACGGAAAATGTCGATGACTTCTACTATCGCAATAAGACCAGTGAAACAATGACTATCTATCCATCGATATCCGTTGTACCAGTCGAGAAGAATGATAAAGCCAAAGGACAGGAGAAAATCTATTCATCAATCTCTCCAACACCTGAACGCAAAGATACAACACCAACCGCCCACGACAATTCATTCTCCGTTCAGAGTTTAACGTCATCATCCTCATCACCAGCTTCCTCGTGCTCACCAACAATAACAGCGACTCGTAGTCATGTTATTTGAAGACCACTTCCGGTTCTCCCAGATATCAATTTTCGGGGGAACCTCGTTTCAAACTGCTGGACAACACCACCCGATTGGTGGAGAGTCGAGCCAATTCTATCGCCAATTAACCGTCCGGTCAATTTCACGGCTACAAGCAGTAGTTTGAATGGGCAGGTAGATGTCATCGATGATGAGCGATAATTCTCGAGGTGATTTTTATGATTATGTTCTCCCAATTCTTGTCTCAGTGGTGGATTCACAGAGAAAAATAACTTCACGTTGGATTGAAGAGGAATCGATCAACTGACGGTGCTGTATTTTTATTGAAAATTCATTACTCTAATCACTTGAACTGATAGAGTTCTGTCGAGTCTTGATAGTGAAATGTAGTCAATGCTAATTAGTTTGAGGAGGAGATAAAACCGAATGTCGTGAGGATTTTTTTTTTCCACGAATGAAGATATCAGAATATAGACGTATTGTAATCAAGTCGGAATATTTTTGTCGAATCTTCCGTGAATTATACATATCTGCATGTATATACTACGATAAATTATTAATCCGTAATCATAAGTCTCGAGTACTCAATCCATTCTATAACTAGTCATAAATTCCTCAATTACCGAACACGACTGATACTTTACGTTGTCCATGTAAATGACTTTTTAAAAAAATGTTGTAGCCTCAATGTACTTTCAATTAATCCATGTACATTACCTAGCTTTAATTAATAATAAAGTACGAACAATCACCTGGAGCTCTCATTACTTTGTTACGTTTTGTTAATCATTAAGTTTTATTTAAAGGTCGAATTACGTTTTGTTACTCCATTTTTTATGTAAAATTGTGTATGCAAATATAAAAATATTAATTCAACAGGTTTTCCTCTGATTTTTCCCCATATCAATATATGATCAATACTATCTCGGATAAATCGGTAAAATCGCGGCATTTTAACTAGTTCACTGAAATTCAATTGGCGTTTCACCGAATTTTGTAATTAATATCTCAATTTTTTATTTCATTGTACATGGCCATCTTGACTCGGCAGTGGCTGAGAGTTGAGAAAGGCTCGACCCCTTTGAGTTTTATTTCTGATAAGCGTCGGGGCGTCTCGTGGTTGCACGCCGCGCGCACAAAACGACATTATCGTCCCGGCAAAAGACCCTTTCTTCCCCCATAAAGGCAATCACGCCTTCGTCGTGCTAAGATAACAGTTGGATGGAAAATGGAGTAAGAAAAAGGAAGAGAGAAAAAAATAGAGAGAGGAAAAATATGAAAGGAAGCATAATAGAACTTCCAGGGCCAAAAGCGCCTCCTTATCTGTGCCACTGGCAAAAGTCCCATTAATAATAACAATTGTCTCATGGCATTAAGGACAATTCTCACAATTGAATTTTTTTTTATTATCCAACTAAACCACCCAATCGTCCACCCTATTTTCTCGCCTATTGGCTGACACTGGTGCCCCGTGCCGGAACATCCGTTGGATAGTGATCGAAAGGGCGAGAATGCGACGGGTCGATTTTTCAATTTTCAAATAGTGTCCAAACTCCAGTTACTGGTAAACTGACTACCCGATAAGATAAACTCAGGAGAGAACGTCTGAATTTACGTCTTGCATAAGTTTTCCTTATATATGAGTGTCCACAGGAAATATGATGATCTTATCCACATGCTCTGATTTTTTTTTTTCATTTCGTACCGAATATTTTTCTCCCACAATCACTCATCATTCACGGATATAAATACTATCAATATATTCCAATAAACAATTGTTTCAATTATCTAATTAATGGCAATATGATTCAATTGAACTCTCGAAAAAAATTTTGCGTTGTGGAATTTTTTAGGAGAATTATTTCCTGTGAATGAGAAGCGATTAATCGAGTTGTAGAATATTTTATGCAAAAACCGAGAGCCATGGCAAGTGAGAGTATAATACCGAGAGTGTATTGCGTACTGTTGTAGACTGTCGGTTTCTATGCGAATCACAGTGGGATAGGAAACAATGACACAATCAGCAAGTCGTCTTCCCCGGAAATCAACAGGACCTGGACAATAGAGAGAACCGACAGTCCCCAACTACCCACTGTCGTTTACCACTCTGATTATTTATTATTGAACTACACCCACAGCCGATCCCCCACTCCCACATTACCACCAATTCCGTAATTATTAACTCCATTAACAATTTAAAAAATCCACATTGACACCTAGAGAAAAAAAAATACATCAAAATTAATTGTTAAAAAATAATTAGCTCTTGGGAATCGGTAATTATTCATTGCGAATTTGTTCTGACGAACTTTTCCCCCCATTTTTTTTTTTGCTCATTATATTTTTATTAAATATCTGGGTAAAACCGATACGGAATTCTCATAATAATAAATCGCGAAGAATTGAATGGAAAATGTTTCACGGGCGGTATAAACAGCATTAACCACCCAACAACGGTTTTTATTACCCTCATAATCGGATCCCGGGTGATGATACCGTCAGTGATTTCAGGTTTGTCTACGATAACGCAGTTGTCCCTTTCGACAATGTACCGGTGAATGCAGAATCATTGAACTGACGAATCCGCAGTATGAAATTGTTTTTTTCGCCAAAAAACCGCACGGGAAAAAAAAAAATCGCGCCACCTTTTCCGGGGAATTACATTTTTCATAAGATCATGAGTAATTTCGGGTTTGTACACTCGTGAAAAATCCACACTATACCCGTATAATAGGGACATGTACCGCGATGGAGTGAAAACTAAAAAAAAACTAAAAAAAAACTCGGGTGAAAAAAAAACGGCGAGTATTACGGACAAAGCAATACTTTCATTGATATGCGGGAGGTGAATTCGTGGCCGATTGTCAATGCTATTGTAGACGAAGAATGTTCTCATTGTCGAGCACCCACTCCCATTGGAGCTCACCATTACATGCCCAGTCACCTTATATACTCCCATTGCATTTCTCAATAATTCAACTGCGCCACCAGAAATTTAATCTCCCATTTAATCCAAAAAATTGAGTGTCAATCAAATGAAAGTTCAAACAAAAAATTTGAAACGAAATAATTATTTCTGACAAGAGCCCCCGTCTGGTAATTCTTCTTCAAGTCCGTGGAAACCATCCCGAAGACTTTTTTAATCAAATCACCAACAATAGCAACAGTTTCTGAAAAAAAAGGACCTCCACCGAAGCGTGTGTGCTCACGAGGCACATAAAATGAATCTCACCAACGAATCAACTTGCCGGGAGTATCCATACAGATATTGGTAGCACATACGACACTTTAGTATTAAAGTTCGTTGCAATAGAAACACGTGTGTGTATGATGCGACTCGATCCACATCGTATTCACGTTAGTATTCACAACGGTTGGCTTATTTCGCATGGGCGAATTCCAAAGAAGAGATTTGCCTCCGTTGGGAGAAACGCGTTTTTTTATCTAGTTTCTTTATTTCATCTTTTTTTTTTAGTTCTCTTTTGCGGGGATAACAGGGTGGCCAGTGCGTTCAGGATACCCTGGTGGGGGCTTTCATTTATCTCATCAAAATTGTCCTCCAGTTTATCATCATGGACTCGCTGTCAGAATAAATATGACGTAAAGAGGCCGATCTCTTTGTGGGATTTAACTCGGAGCATATCGATTCTACAACGGGGACATGTACAAATTTCTTCTTCTCTTTTTTTTTTTTTTTGAGTATATGTGTGCAGTCCGACTTATCGGGGGCTCTCGTTTTCTTCTCTATTCAGGCAGTCGTTTTTATCGACAAACCCACTGTCGTTTTCACCACCCCCCCCGGTATCACTCCCACTTTTCGCTATTTCCTGGTTACACTGTTTCCAGTTTTGCCAGGAATTTGCCGGATTTTTTTCCTGGGGCTAGGATTTATACGAGAGGGCACCATTTTTTCATTATTAAACCGATAATAATTCGGTTTCTTCTAACAATCGATTGTTCCATCGATAACTCGGAATCTAAAAGAGATAGAGAATTTTTTGTTGGAACTATTTTGTAGCTCTGAATTTTCTCTGGAGAAAAGGTTCTCACAAAAATTTCATTTTCTCCCTCAGATTCGGGGAAATCGGGGAAAATTCAGGGAGGAAGGCGATATCGATTGTTCTATCACTTTCCACTTGAAATATTCATGTCACTTATTTTTTTAATTATAATGATATTAATGAGGCGATTTTTTTCGGGTGATTTGAATTTTTGGAAGAGGGAAAATTGGGACTCACGATTTTTTAGATTAATTTTAGATTTATCGGGGTGCAGTAAATACCCGGAGAGCTTTAACGCAAGATACGATAAAACAGAAATTCCGGGGATGAAAATATACCGACGGTTGGCCGGAGAAATCCTCGGTCTTACCACTTGCCAGGGGTTCCGGTATCAACGAAGGGTTTTATCACGATTTTCCACCCCCGATAATTCGCGCTTATTCCCTGTTATCGCGGGATTTTGGGATTTTCGCAAGGGTTGATACCCTTAGACGGCACTTTATCCCGAGGGTATTTTCAGTGAACCAAGAGAGGTCACTCCGCGATGTGAATTTTAAATTCGCGTACTGGGACAATTTCCAAGAATTTTAAAAATTTTATTAACACCGCACAACTGAATGTTTAACAAAGAAGGAATTCAGGAAAATATTGACGAACAAACACTGAACAGGTGGAAATATACGCGTCACGGGGCTTATCTCTCCGTGAACATTCACAATACCTTTTCTACATAAAAATAGATATTCAGAAAAAAAAAACGTGTTAACAGTCCACTAAAGTCACCTGAGGTGCTAACATCATTCTGTATTCCTCAACAACCGCGTAAAAATAAAATTCAAAATTCAAAATTCCACCACAACCCCCCAAAATTTCCAAAAAAACTTCCCCTCCCAAAATCCGAATAAAAATCTCTCAACTAAAAAATAATTCAACACTACATATTTTTTTCCAGAACGCGAATTTCCGAAAATTCAAAAAGCTTCTAAATCGGACAAAAACAACCCCTGAAGCACCCCCACCCCCGAGATAAGCAGAATCCTCTAAAAAACATTTCCTCTCCCCCTGAATCCCCAATTGAACTCCCATTAGAGCATCTCCAGCGTTGATTCGGACATGCCCTACGTCCCAGGAACCTGTACCCCCGAAATCCCCTCGACATGCCAAACATTATCGTCTCCCGTCACCAGCGGATGTTCCATTAAAATCCCACCCCCCGGTAGCAGGAAAATAAAAAAGAAAAATCCGTAAACCACACAGACTTTAATACCTTCTTAAGGCATCTCGCGTCTGCATTGACATCGATAGCAGATTATTTGCGGGACGAGAAGAGCCATTCAGCCCCCACTGACAATACTATTTTCACTATTGACATATTCCCCTCGAACCAACACCTGCATTACTCCAAAATAACCCGACGTAACACGTTATTAAACAAGAGAGTCATGTTGGCCATCGGCATCTCCGTCGTTTTATAGAAATTATGAGCGAGGGGATATTCATTCTTCTGAAATTCGGTGATTCCAAGATTTCAGGCGATTTCATCGATTTTATATCTGGGCTTTTTAATGATTTCAATTAAACACCCAGAAAATTATTTAAAATTATTTGTTTTATTTTAAACAAATGGCATGAATTTTTTTCGATTTTTTATGATTTGGATTTTATATGATTTCATGATTTCAAGTGATTTCAGCGTTTTTTAATGATTTTTAAAGATGATTAAATTAATTTTTTCAATGTTAAATAGAATCGACTGTTTGAAATTTCATAATTTTACTCGATTTC